TTATAATTATGTTGAAAATTTTTGAAATCGGACTAAAATTACGCCTACTTACAATGTAACGGCATATTTGAGAAATACGAAAACTCCGATATTTCAGTAACTAAAGCCATAAATTAACCCCAACTTTCAAGAAACAAGCTTATAGATTTTTTTATGCCTACTTAATTGTATATCAATAACCGCTTTAAAAAAAAAGAGATATTTAATACGTGCGCCGGGTATAAAATGTTCGGTTTCGTCCAAACTTATACTTCTTTACTTGTTTTATTTTGAAATCAAATAATATATAGAGGTCGCGTGAATCGCTCAAAATTTTCCAAGTATTTTATAAGGGAAAAAACTAGACTAGAAAAAACAGGAGACTTCCATTACAAATGCCCAATTGTTTATTTTACCATTTTTAATACTAAAGTGGTTTTGTGGGTCCCCCAAAAACCTCAAAAAATGCAATACGGAGATCAATAAAAAACATTCCAAGACGCTAGAAAATCGCGTTGATTTTTAATATTTTTTGTTGGCTGCCGTTTTGGATAAATGAAGCTATACGGTTTAAATTGTAATGTCAGGAAAAATTAAGAAAACGATTAATTAAAATGAAATAACCCATTGTTATATACATTACAAGGAGAATAAAATATTTAAGTCGGCTTCGATTCGCCATTCCTGTGCTCGCTATGTTTGAGTTCAGGCTAGGCTTCTAGGATCCCTAGTACTTCCGCTTAAAAGATGCTTGTATAATTTCCCAATCGTAGTGACAGAAAAACACCGAGTTTCTCGGAGTAGACTCCCGCCCCCACACCGCAATCCATCTTGAATCCGTCGGTGTATAGAGAGATCGCCTCTCGGTCGGCCACTCGGTCTCTTCTCCAGTTCCTTCTGTATGGGAAAAACACTTGAACGTAACAGCTGAAGTCCAAATTGTCTAACATATAGTCTGTCGTCCTACTTAATTGCATTTGTTTTATGATCAACCCATCTCCGAAGTGTCTAGTTCACCAAAGCTTTGGCTCTCTGAGTCTGAACGCCGATTTCAAAGCCACTTCTTTCCGGTGGAGATCAATAGGGATTAAAATGAGGATAGCATTTAGGGCTTCTGCCGGGCAGGATCTTAATGCACCTGTTACTCCTGCGTTTATTGCCCTTCGTATGCTTCTAAGTTTGCTAGCATTATATTGTTTGCTTAGTCCGGGCCAACAGACCAACGCGGCATATGTTAGGATTTAGGTTCAGTTCCCAGTTTCCGATGAAGATTCTCTTGCAAGTGTAGTATGTTATGTTGACATTCTGCCTACGAAATTCGACATTAAGTTTGCTATCCGCTGGAGGATAACAAGAGTGTCTTGCCGTCTAGCGGCAGTAGTTTGAATTGTGGCATTTTGTTTCTATTTGTAAATAGGATAAGTTCTGTCTTGGCTGATTTCACATTTAGGTCACTTCTCTCAGTCCAGGTGTTTAGCCTTCGAAGGGTTCTGTTGTGCTGTTGAGAGCGTCGCTTCTCCTAGTAGCGATCTTATATAAATGTCGAGAAGTCTTTCCATTGTTTTAAGTACAATGGAGGTAAGCCCTAGGTGTTTGAAGTGTTGTACTGTTTCGTGGTTTTTACTTCTTGGCTTGGGTAAACTACGATCATTATCGTTCTCAAGCTTTAAGGAATGAAGCGCAAGTTTATAGTATGCTATACGAATTAACCCTCTGCTACCTACGAATTAACCCTCTGAAGCATTGGTGGGATTGAATATGCCATCAGGTTAAGGGGATTTGAAGAGAGAAAACAATCTTTTCACAGTCGACTGCTTGTAGAACTAGGTCCGATTGACCCTGACGTAAATGTACTTCAAATACATTCCGGCAAATGAAACTTGACTAACGTGTTTAAAGAATCCCTAACTGTATTCGTCCACAACCCGCTTTCTCCCTTAATGAGTGTGATATTGCTAGGTTCTTTCGATAGGATTTTGCTAAGCCTGGCTGAATCTTTAAAGTTCTCTATAGCCGAATAATAAGACTGCTAGGATTTAGTTTTCGATTTATTCAATTTTTTTTATATGATCTTAAGGCGCTTTTATAAGGCTCCCGGTCTTTAGTTCTGAAGCAATCATTGAAGATTTTCCTAATTTTATCTCGTTGGGCCGTTTCTTGCGGTATTCACTGGGGTTGATCTTTCAAAGGCTTCTTCATCACCTCTTCTAGTTGGTTTACTCTATTATCAACGTCCTCATTTGTAGTGACATTTGTGTTTAGTGGACCGCTATTATTAAAAATAAATAAATAAATATTCAATATTAAAGAGCATCAAACGGTGATCCAACATTGAGAACCTATCATATACTCTTCACTCTTTTACATACACGCTGTCGTTCTCTGACAACCGCGTTAGACCCGGTACCTCCTCCCATAAACGAAACCGGTTTCAACTCGGGAATATAAAGGGGGATGTAGGCAATACTGCAGATGCTTATGCTAGTATTTAATAAGAAGTGTAAGTAATAAGAAGACTCACCTCACCAAATCTTAGTCTTAATCATACCCAACCACCCCCACCATGCCCTTCCTTCTTCTTCAATTTCATTCAAAATTAGAGCCCAACAATTGTGTCGTTTTATCGTTATATCGATGATTGCATTTACATCCAACCAAGCGCATAGAAGTTTCACTTCCAAAGGGAATATGTACTTATGCATCTGTGGTTCATGTAAATTTTTCGATTTCTGATTCATATCCAAATCCGCCTGCCCTTTGAAGAGTTTTCTGTCTGCTGCCTTATATGCACATATATCGTTATTTCGTAATAAGTCTAGAAACATACTAAACTACCTACTTAAGTATTTTGTTGCATTCGACGGATATGTATAAAAAGTGACACTTGAGAATCTTCAAACCGCCTTAATCCAGTTTAATGCCTGCAATCATAATGCTTGCAATGACAATATATTTTTACAAATTATTTATAGGCACCTACCAACAGTTGGGTGTGTGCATGTTACCAACCTGGACAAACAAAGAAAAAATAATAAATTAAAAAAAAAAAATAAATACAAAAATGTAAGTATTTTTGACGTTTCATTTCAGTTCGACTGATAAGAAGCGCTTCAATTCTTCACTCGAGGAGTAACAGCATTTACAAGCGCGCCGGCCAACAGCAACGACAACAGTAAGAAGAAAGTGCTTCTAATCGCTATCTCTCAGACCTAACTAGTGTGCACGAGCGCACAGTTTTTATGTATGTACATTCATACATACAAATATTTATATGTTTTTCACAAGCTTTGAAACCTAGACGCTATCAAAATGTATGTAGGTACTACATATGTACATATATGTACATACATAAATTTTTGTTTTGTTTTTAATATTTTATTTATAATCATTGCAATATAATTTTTTTATTTTTTTGTTTTTTTTTTTTGTTTTTACTATTAAAACAATTTCGTTTCTGTGTTGTCTGAGTTGTGAGTACGTTTGCCGGTCGCAAGTTGAGTATATAAATATCAGTTGGCCGACTGGCGATCATTCAAAAGTGTTTAGTTTTTCATAGCAGCAAGACAGACGGTTTTTCTACCCGACTCAGCTGTTATTTCAAAGAAATTGCATAAGATTTACATAGCTGCCTATGCGCATACATACTTACACACTCAGATATAAGCATTAACTTACTAGTGCAGTGAAGTGCAGCATACAGCAATTTCCGACGATTGGTTGTCTTTTCTTTTTACTGCAAATTGAAATAGCAATTTCGTGACGATAATTGCTGACAAGTGAAAGGAAAGCGATTTTAGTGTCCATAAGAAAAAAGTGCAAGTGCAAGTGCAAGTGGAAGACTGAGGAAGTGCAACACAAGAAATGGCTGTTAGTATTTTACTGTTTTTGTATATACATACATATGTTCATATAAATTGTTATATTAAGTTAAATTCATTAACAATGGTAAATACTTGCTGAATGAGGATGTTTGCTAAGGAATGTTGTTGGGTTGTGAACAAGTGTATTTATTTTAAAATTATACTTAATATTGAGGCAGTTAATAAAAAGTGTAGTATACTGTAAAAGCAGTAGCAGGTCGAAGAGAATGACTGAGGTTTATTTTAAGTCGCCAAATTTTTGCAATTCGTTCATAAAAATTTGATTTTCGCTCAGTTCCAACAAGTATTTTCTTTCTAAAGTCAGTGAAAGTAGTGGTTTATGTAGTGTAGCACATAAAGAAATGTGTTTTCTATTTATCTACAGCAAATTTCTTTTTTTTTTAATATTCACCATGACGCAATAAACTGGTGAAGTAATAAAGCAGCTTTATTTTTTGACATTCGGCTGCAATATAGTTAAATTTTAAAGGCATATTTTAAAAGAGGGCAGTGTTAAAATCTTTCCTCTCGTTCCAATTACTTCACCTGGTATAATTCCACCATGAATATTCGTAATGTTTATCACGCGAAAACTTTTATTTTATTTTTTTAATTAAAAAATTTCTTCAGCTCGCACTCGGCTGGACCGCTCCTCTCTCAGATTAGTAGTCGGGGTAATCACAGGACACTGCCTGATGGGTACACACGGTAAAAGGTTAAAATACCCCACCAACCATATTTGTCGTAGTTGCAGAGACGAGGAAGAGGTGGAGAGCATCGAACGTTATCTCTGCCATTGTCCCGCTCTGGTCAACATGCGCAACCAATTCTTCAGCAAGTAATTTCTAGATTGCTTAACCGACTTGAACTCGGCGAACGTCCTCGACCTTTTGTGTTAAATAAAACACAACCGGTGGTTCAATTACTAAGGAAATGAAAGAAACAAAGAGCTTCGGCCAGTGGTATCACAACAGGTTTTTCCAGCCCACGTGTGCTCCTCGCTCTGCGCAGGGCAGCCACTCTAACCTAACCTTACCTTACCTTCTCTTATAACAAGAGCCTACTATTTTTCAATCGGCTCCAGTTTGGCACAGTTGGGTGTATTGGTTTATTAACTTAATTTAATCACTCGACGGCTACGTAGTGGAAGCGTTATCAAGCCAAAAATAGCGGAAATTTCAGTATCGACGTAGTCTCATAGCCAGCATTTCTTCAAATATACCTTTATAATATACATACAAAGTAGTGATGCATAGAACCGAGGAACTGGATACGGAAAATTGGGTCCTTTAATGACCCGACCGACCCGGGCCTAACAAGAACCGAAAGACGGGTCCAAAGGTATTGAAACTCAATTCAAACAGACCCGAAAAATGGTTCCAGAAGAATCGAAGAACGATTCCAAGAGGCTCCAGCAATGGTTTAGAAGAAGCGACAAATAAAATAAAACCAAAAATAAGTCCAAAAGACTGATAATCCCTTCAAAAAGAACCGAAAACGATTCCTAGACAACCGAAAATTGACCCCGAAAGAAGCAATGTTCAAAATTAAGTATTTTATTGCGTAAATATAAAATTATTGAGCCGGTAAAAGTTGTTGGGTATGTACATATGTATGTATGTACATAAATATGTCTCTACGTATGAATCTCTACGGATTAGATCCTCCGCGGCTTTTATGACTTCTGGTTCATACGATACGCGAACGGCCAGATCTTGTTAACTATTCCACCAGTATCTTGAAATTAGTTTCGCGGCATGTTACTCAAAGTCTTATGCGATTTTTAAAGGTCACAACATCCGAAAGTTATGGGCGTGGAGGTCTATTGTTTGTTTAATTTTTCTTCAGAAATTTAGTACACATGTTTGTATATATGTACATATGTATGTATGTATGTATGCATGTACATATGTGAAACAAAATATAGGCTAAAAGGCGTCTGACGTGCAACATCTATTAATTTGTTTTGTTTGTCTTTTTGTGTACTAATTAAATTCCATGAAAAAGCTTTGATTATATTAAATTTATGATAGATAAGACAAATACTGTTTCTGGTGTAATAACCTCGCTTTTTGGAATTAAAGCTATGTATTTACATACACAGCATTAAACTGTTAATTACTAATTCGTTTAATCAGCTGAGCTAATACATATGCATATCTTACATCGCGTGTTATTCATGTGCTTATTTCATAGAAGCGACGTTAACCGGCTATGAGGAATAATGCTTAAACACTCAAAGCAGTTTTAACTGGTTACTCCAATAGGAAAGATTAGTTTTCTTCTTTTTGCTTTTTATTCGATTTTTTCGCTTGTTTTTGTTTTTTTTTCATGCTAGTCTATTTTAAAAGCGTCGAGATAAATTATAATAAATGTCTTTGTTTATTTGTTTATATAGTTCAATGGTTCATGCTACTTTTAAGCATGCAAATTATAATCTAGGTTAACTTAAGGGGGATGGCTATGTTATTGTTTATTTGCTAAAGTATTTGAGGCGATCATTACGAAATAGTTGTCCTATTCTGTATCGTCAATTATTGACTATTTAATCATGGTTGTCTTAAATATACTGGAATTTTCTACTAATGTAACAAATTTTGAAAAATTTTATATATTACAAGAAATTAAAAAAAATGTGTTTCTTTATAAAATAACAAAATCTAAAAATTAGGGAAACTTAAATTAAAAAATGAAAATGTTTCTAAAAATTGCATAATTGAAATTAAAAAATATTTTTCTTTTTAATACAAAATCTGAAAATAACAAAAATTAATTAAGAAAAAATAATTAAATATGTACATATGTTCCTAAAAATACAATGAAATTAAAAAAACGTATTTTTTTTTAACAATAACATCTAAAAATAGAAAGAAATTTAAACTAAAAAGAAAAAATGCCAATGAAAATAAAAAATAAACGTTTCTAAAAATTGAATGAAAAAAAAACATTTTCCTTTTCGAAACAATAAAATCTAAAAATTAAAAAAAAAAAATGATTTCTTAAAAATTAAATGAAATTAAAACAATAATCAACAATTTAATTGAGATCGAGGCCTTTTTTGATGAAAAATGTCGTGGAAAACAATAACAATTTACACATGGCAGAAGTTATAGCAGCTATTTCGGAGATCACTACATCTCCTCATCAGACTTTTTCATTTATACAAAAAATCATGTTTGTGTGGCATATTTGGAGGAATTTCATTAAAAACATATGAAAAATGATATGGCAACATGCTACTCTCACGGATCTCTTTTCACTTAGAAATCAAAAATCTATAGTTCTCCAAGTCTCTAAGTGAAGTTTTTTTTTGCGTAACTACACACATGCCAGATACATATGTACATGTAGATAAATTATCTACTACTGAACCCACATGGCTTTAAAACGCCAAAACTTGAATTTAACTTTTTAAACAGGTGTGGGCCCTCTTCAAAAACCTAAAAAATATTTCAAATATTTATCAAAGTATTTACACAAAAGTATTTCAAACATATTTCTAAACACAAATTCTCTTTTGTCTGATATTGGAATAAATATTTCAATTAACTGATGAATTAAGTAGAATTTGATTTTTCAAATACGTGGCAACTCTCCTAAATATATTTAGTTCATAAATAAAGTCTTTCCAAACCCATTCGATAAATACTCATCTTTTAATAATTCAATTAACTTATTAAATAATTTGAATTTAACTTTTTATCTAGTGGCAACCCTTTTAAAATATCTGGAAATATTCTAAATGTTCAAATTAAAAATTTCTTACCACTCTTTCGTTTGCACAGCTATATGAATATTTCATATAAATTTGCATGATCTAATAAATTTGACTTTTTAAACAGTTGGCAATCTTCTTACAATATTTTTGTGGTCAAGGCATCTATGAACCCATACTTTTTGGGTTGGACACAAGATTTTTACCTTGTTTTTATTTTAATCTCCAACAGAACACAGTTACTTTTTTGAAATGAAATTTGCATCGTCTCTTCTTCGATTTATCTCACTTTCAGCAACCTCTGCGTATTGCCATCATTGGTCAGAGTAATTTTGCCGCAGATGTCTTGGAATTGCTGTTAGAGAAGAAATACAATGTTGTTGGCGTGTTCACCATAGCCGATAAGGGTAGTCGCGAGGATATCTTAGCTACGACTGCGTCTCACCATAAAATACCTGTTTTCAAGTTCTCTTCGTGGCGCAGAAAGGGCGTCGCCATACCAGAAGTGCTACAACAATACAAATCGGTAAATGCAACACTAAATGTACTACCATTTTGCTCGCAATTCATTCCCATGGAAGTGATTGATGGTGCTGACTTGGGCAGTATTTGTTATCATCCATCCATACTACCGCGGCATCGTGGCGCCAGCGCAATACAATGGACACTGATCGAGGGTGATGAAGATGCTGGTTTCACAATTTTCTGGGCAGATGATGGTCTGGATACTGGTCCGATTTTGCTGCAAAAGCAGACGCCCGTGGAGCCCACCGATACTTTAGATACCATCTACAAGCGGTTCCTCTATCCCGAGGGTGTCAAGTCCATGGGTATAGCTGTCGATTTGGTCGCTGCTGGTACTGCGCCGAAAATCACACAAACCGAAATAGGCGCCACATACGATCCGGCTATGTTTAAAGAAGAAAACCAGTTTATTGATTTGCAGCAGTCCGCGTGCAAGATTTTCAACTTTGTGCGTGGTTTGGACTCACAACCCGGCGCTATCGCGGTAGTGGTGAAAACGGATGGCACTGAGGAGAAGATACGACTGTTCGGCGCACACATCTACTCTGGTGGACCGGTGAAACAGCTGGGTTCGCTTAAACTGAAAGGTCTAAGTTCACCAGCATATATACACCGCGATGGCCTGCTCATTAGGGGCACAGATGGCAACTTCGTGAATGTACGCCGCTTGAAGAAGGGTTCCAAAATGATTAACGCAGCCGATTGGTTTAATCAGAGCGATCAGCCACAAATCACCGACTTCAGCGAGGATGAGCTGTTGAAGAAGGAGATATTGCGCGGTATTTGGAATTCCATACTCAAAGCGCCTATTGAGGCGGAGACAGACTTCTTTGCGGCTGGCGCCGGTTCCATGGATGTGGTGCGTTTGGTGGAAGAGTGTAAGGATGCTTTCGATGTGCCGCTAGAAAACGAACATGTCTTTATGGCACCAGTTTTCGAAGAGTTTTTCGTAGAGATTGTTAAGAGTTTGCGTCAAGGTAGCTCCGCAACGGGTGTAGAGGTACCCTTCGAAGGTTTCATTATGCGCGCCAATAAACGTGAAATTCCTGTACCAACGCAACTCTTCATAAACGGCGAATTTGTCGACGCCGAAGGCAAGAGCACTTTGGACATTGAGAATCCAACAAATGGCGAGATTTTCTGTAAAGTCGCATGCGCTTCGCGTGCCGACGTCGATAAGGCTGTGCAGGCAGCGCATAATGCTTTCTACGGTTCATGGAAGCAAGTGTCGGCACGTCAGCGTGGACAGCTTATGATGAAGCTTGCCGATCTGATGGAGCAGTACAAAGAAGACTTGGCAACAATTGAGTCGGTGGACTCGGGCGCGGTATATACGCTGGCACTGAAAACTCACATTGGCATGTCGATCGATGCATGGCGATATTTTGCCGGCTGGTGTGACAAAATACAAGGCAGCACCATACCCGTAAATCCAGCCAGACCCAATAATGTGTTGACATTCACCAAGCGCGAGCCAATAGGGTAAGCATGAGCGTGTAACTTTTCACCTATTGAGAGTAACTAATATTTATGATTTTTCGTTTTAGCGTCACCGGTCTTGTAACACCCTGGAATTATCCACTCATGATGTTGTCTTGGAAAATGGCCGCTTGTATTGCCGCTGGCAATACTTGCTTGATCAAACCGGCGCAGACGTGCCCGCTTACGGCGCTCAAGTTTGCTGAGCTCACTGTAAAAGCGGGCTTTCCACCAGGCGTCATTAATGTTGTGCCTGGCCAAGGTTCGGGCGCAGGTCAAGCAGTTGCCGATCATCATTTGGTGCGGAAATTGGGCTTCACCGGTTCTACGCCCATCGGCAAGGTGATCATGAAGTCATGTGCCGAGTCGAACCTTAAAAAGTGTTCACTGGAATTGGGTGGCAAGAGCCCGTTGGTTATATTCGCCGACTGTGATCTAGACAAAGCCGTTAAGCATGTAAGTGATGAAAATTTTGTTATTACAGCTCCACTTCAGAGAGCGCCTAGAGTAGCTGTACTACTATTTTTATATCTTTAAATGTGCCTGCCTCTTTTTCTTGAGAAAGCGTCTTGGTTTCGCCCCATTTTCATTTCCGTATGCATTATATTAACAAAAACCTCTGTTTCTTCACAGGGTATGTCCTCGGTCTTTTTCAATAAGGGGGAGAACTGCATTGCCGCGGGTCGCCTCTTCGTTGAGGATCGTATACACGATGAATTTGTACGTCGCGTTGTTAAAGATATTCGTACCATGACTATCGGTGATCCCCTGAATCGTTCTACAGCACATGGTCCACAAAATCACAAGGCGCACTTTGATAAACTCATTGCTTATTGTGAGCGTGGCGTGAAAGAGGGCGCCACTTTGGTCTATGGCGGCAAGCCTGTGCCCAACACCAAAGGCTACTTCTTCCAACCCACCGTCTTCACCAATGTCGAGGACGACATGTATATTGCACAAGAAGAGTCTTTCGGCCCCATTATGATTATATCCAAATTTAATGGCAGCGATGTGGATTCAGTGATGAAGCGCGCGAATCGTAGCGAATATGGGCTGGCCAGTGGTGTATTCACAAAAGATATCAGTAAGGCTCTGACTTTCGCCGATCGTATAGAGGCCGGCACAGTGTTTGTGAATGTTTACAATAAGACTGACGTGGCGGCGCCGTTTGGTGGCTTCAAGCAAAGCGGTTTCGGCAAGGATCTGGGACAGGAGGCGCTTAATGAGTATTTGAAAACAAAATGTGTGACGATTGAATATTAGTAAGTAGATCAAGTAGAAAAAATCTGGGGGGTATGTATAGAGAAAGCGTAAAGCAAGCGGAAGAAGAGTAAAGCAATGTACTATAAGAAGAATTTAGAAATTTATGTAAACATAAGGCAGCTATTAACTTAAGTTTTTTTTTATAACTTTTAGTCTTAAAAAAAAAAAATTACAACTGCATATAAAAATCGTTTGTAAGAGGAATGAAATTCTAGATTTATTTTTGTTACGAGCAGAGCGTATAAAATATGCTAATAGTGGCTGAATTTCTTTATTCATTCTGAACGTTTGGAATAAACTTTTTTGTTTACGTATTATTTAGAACGTTCCTGATGATATGTTAACGTATATTTCAAACGCATTCTGTTTATTCCGGCTGTGAAATGGGATTATCCGGAATGTATAAAGAAACGCAGCCAGTATATATGCATGTAAGGTATGCAAGATTAATGTTATATGTATTTGTTGTTGTTTGCTATGTTTAATATGAAAATATAAATAAATGAATATTCTAAAAAGAAGATTATTTCTAATCTATATACTTATTTCTAAAAGCTATTTTTCTTTTACCAAACGATATCTCCTTTAACATTTTTTTCAAATTTAATGAATGATACCTCATTTTGAAGGGGGAAGCTCATGTACATGTGAAAAATAGTCACGTTGTTCAAATTTAGTTATTTATTAAATCAATTGGTTTTAAAAGCTGAAAGCCCTGTAACCGGTCAATTAAGCACCATATCTTTCATAATACTCCATCAAATTGAATGGCTGAAACACCATTTTAAAGGACAGCTTCAACGCTGAGGTAAAAAATAAAAACGTTTTAATATGTTTGCCACCCACTGAAAATTTCAGTGACTTTAATATATGTCGAGTAAAATATTGAATCGCGTTCAGGGAATGAAAGGCATTTAAATGCGCTCTTAACCAGGAATAATAATTTTGAAGAGGGTTGCCAACTATTTAAAATTTAAAATCTTTATATCTGTGGCTATAATCGCTTAAGTCGAAAAATCTGAATTCGAGAAAAATCGCTTTAAAGATTTGGATTGTAATGTTAACCTTATGGGAAAACCAAAATATTTGTATCCATAACTTTTTAAATAGCCTAGGTAACGAGATGGGAGTTTCACATACACACTAAATAGTATTTAATTGCAGAAAACGATAGCATATACACTGAGGAGCAAAACCGGGACAGTAATATATAATGTGAATTTTCTTGCGATATATTCGCAATATAGTTAGACTTTTTTGTAATCTAGTTTCGGAATTCACATTTCCAATGATTGTTTCATCAGAAGGCCATAAAAACAACAATTAATACAAGCAGATAAAGAAGAAAATTGCAAAAATTTGCACCCGATAGAAAATTGTACCATTTGCTTGACTTTTAATAAATTGGCCATAACCAATTTGAACATTTTAGCTTTTATGGTCATCTTGGGGTACTTTCGCACAGGTTTTAGACGAAATCTGTTGAGAACGCGCACCGGTTTTCCTCAACGCCATGCCCAAGGTCTTGCATGCGATTGGGCGAATTTTCGCAATTCTACAGTGGCATTTTCAAATAATTCCATAAGTTTTCTGTTGAATCATATCTGGGCTTTACGCAGGTCACTCCATGATTATAAAAACTTGGGATTTATACCTATTTGGTCCCAGTTTCGGAGGATGTTTCTGATCATTGTCCTGTTAAAATTGATAAAAGCCTGCGAAAAATATCCTCAGAAATCGCCAAATTCTTTGAAAATGCTCA